TATTGCTGTTTGATTGTGGACATATTGTTTGAGCAAGATGAATGTCATTCTATCAGCAAGATGGCCAATGCTCTTGGAATTACATGCAGTTTCAAGAGTTTACTGGGAATACTTAAATTCTGGACAGACTTCAACAGCACATGCACAGTGTCGGCACCCACAGCTGATGCAAGAATGTGACTGCTGGCAACTAACCAGCAATAACCATGCTTAGTAACCATGCAACAAAGGGCAATGGTATGCCAAATAACATCAGACTTCAACATGGGCTGCTGAAACCATCAGTCAATGCACTGTACAATATACATTGCATTCCAGGTAGTTGTTGACCCCATTCAGATATCACTGCTAACACCCAGAAATCAGACGAGTCTCACCTGGGCCAGAGAACATTGAAATTGGACAATGGATGACTGGTGCTATATTGTGTGGTCAGACGAATCTTGTTTTCAGCTCCTTTGAGCTGATGGTTTTGTTTGTATATGGTGATGACCACACAAAATCATGAATCCATTGTGCCAGCAAGATGTTGTGCAAGCTAGAGGCAGATCTGTTCTGGTTTGGAATATGCTCTGTTGGTGTGAAAAGGGACAAATGGTGAGACTAGTCAACTTTGGCAGGAGTGACATATACTAATCTTGAGGCAGATGTTTTGATCTCTTTATGCTTGCTATGTTCCCATATGGTGATGGTTTGTACCAACAGGATAATGCTACTCTCTGCAGGACACGGATGATACAACAATGGTTTGAGGAACACTTGACAGATTTTCAGCTACTCCTTTGGCCACCTCAATCACCAGACTTGAACCTCATTGAGCATTTATGGGATATTGTGTAAATGTCACTCAATGCCTTGCAGAAGTATCCAACAAATATAACTGAATTATGGAGAACCATCAAATGTACAGTACATACCTGTGCATCAAGTCAGACACCTTGTAGAGTCTGTGTCACTTTCTGTAATGGCTGTTATTTGGACTCAGGCAGGCTACACATTATTAGGTAGGTATCTCTAATTTTTTAGCATTTCAATTTATTTTGAATATTAAATATTGAACAACTAAAAAATAATTTTAAATTTGTACCTTATAAAAATAACATACTAAATTGCGAATTTGTAATATTTTTGTATAGACCGGACATTAAAACCTAATTGGATAAAACTGAACCCATACTCAGCAGAAAGAATAATTACTAAAATCATCACTAAATACCTTTTGATTGCTAAGACACATAATAAATGTGTCTCAGCAGCCAAAGGTATTTAGTGATGATTAGTAAAAATACAAGTTTTAGAGGTGGTCAACATATAGAGAGTTTAACTCGTGTTTCTATGGGACAAATACATACAGAGTTGAACTCTTTAGATGTTGAACACTTCTAAAACTTATATTTTGACTAATCTTGGCCTATTCATGCCATAGAAAATTGCCTCTATATGTTGACCAAATGCATGTATTTTTGTTTTTGGAATTGGGACTGTCTTGCAATTGAAAGTTTTTAAATTTATAGCAAAAATTTGCTCTTAGCATTAGTATTGCAAAGAATTTTTGTAACTTATTTTTGAATGTTTTCAAAAATGTGCTTCCTGTTCTACTTATATATTCCATTCTAAAATCTGAAGATGGCCATTGCACATGATCAAAAATAATCGTTCCATTAATAATAAACATTCTAATTTTACTGATTAAGGTTTTTTGGTATTAATTGTAAAGAATTTTTAATTTTTCAATAAAACTTTATGTTTATTACATTTTATAATTTAAATTATTCTCTGTTCTGTGTGTTTCAACTTCCTGTCTTTTCCTACTTTGTGACTTTGCTCTGCTTTTACTCTTTGTTTGATGTCTAGGACTTGGAAGTTTCTAAAAGCTAGAAGATTATAGAGTATACTGGATGTACCTATCTGGGAGAAAGAAAAGTAGTCAAACTCTACACAATTTTTTTTTCATGACCTGTAGAGGTCACAACCTTTTTATATAACAGCTACCTTATCTGGGTTTCATGTTTGTATTAGAATACAAATAAAGTAAAAATAATTGAAACATCAATTATCTTGGGAAGTAATGTAAAATGTACTTTTTAAACATTGAAACATTTTAGAAAATTTTGATAAGGGAAACAAAATAGGAACATTGAATTTATTTTCTGCAGATGTTAAGAAAAGCCAAAAAAATCAGATTGATGCTTTCTTAATAACTTAAAATATTTAAACACTAATTGCTTACTATGTTTTCCAGTTTCATAATTTTTGAACAGATGTAAACTATTAAATGTAACAAAATATAATATACAATATTTTGTTATATATGTATTTATAAGTGTTTTTGATAAAATATTATATTCTAAGTGTTATATTTGATAAAATATTTATCTAAGTGTTTAGTATCCCAATGTATCCCATTCTGTAATGTTTTCAATTAAATGTATTGATAATATACAGTATTTACAGTATTTTCTATACAGTACTTATTATAGTAATCTCTTATTGAAATGTTGGTTGTATAATATTGCATAATGAGCTTCATTTCTATGTGGTGATCACTTCTATATGTTGACCAGCAGATGTCAATCCCTTTGGTGTGGAAATACACCATATTTTGTATATATTTTTATTTTTATTTAGTATAGCTTCCTTTCTTTCTTCTTTGTTTCATTGCTCTGTCCCTTCTAGAATGTTCTTTCTTAATCCCTTCCTCTTGGGTGCTGGTGACTAATTCAGAGAACAAAAGAAAAGAAGAGGCCCCAACAGCTAAGTTGGGAGAGCAATGGTCATTTTTTGGCTTGGATGTCCGAGGGAAAGGATGTGGAAAGGTCATGTTCCAAGTCGTGTATTGGTAGCAACTGGAGGCGAAGAGAAGCCCACACAATTCTGAATTCAAGTCTGGTGAAGAGTGAAAATAGAGACTAACAGAGAAATTTCTACAGTAAAGGCAAGAGAGAACATTTTTTGTGTAAGAAACAAGGATAAGGATCGTCATCACACCCAAAACTACATAGAAGAACGGGTACCCACTTTCCTATAGACTTATCTCTTAATCCTTTCTGCATCTATCACTTCCTTTCTTACTTAGTATTTAATTAGTTTTAAGGCCCTAGAATTAATCCTTTTTTGTTATTGCAGTCCCAAAGATATCAATCCATATTCTTTGTCATGAACCTAATATAGGTTGTGGTTTGTTTTTCTAAATCAAGTTTTGTTGTTAGTGTAATCTGTAAACAAACACAAATTCTTGGACTGAGGAGAGTTGGAATCCAAAGAACTTCATTCATCATGTGAAATACATATACAAAAAACAGTATCTTTATGTGCTCCTTTTCATGATGAACATTACAGTGGTAAACATGGATACCACTGTATTTTCTTTTAAATGGTTTTTATTCTTTTTTTTATAATCTTTTATTTTCTGTTAGTGTGCACAATTGTTTCAACTCTGAGTAACTAGCATGGACTGGGAAAGCATATATGTGTGTTTGTCATTATTCATTGCTACCAGTCAACATCAGTCAGTTACAGAATGTGTGGTTCACTGTCTCAGCCAGAGTAAACACCTGTTTATTTGACCAATGTGATTCTAATATTAATACATAAATTAAATTTTTCAATAATAATTTGTCAAAAGCATTAAGATTTTTATTAAAATATATTTTAAAAAAATCTAATCAAAAAAGAAAGCTGTCTGATAAATATGATACATTCATTCATATAAAATTTTTAAAATTATAGTATGTTTTATCAAATTGATTAATATTTGAAAATAAATTATACCAGAATATATATTATACAAAAATAAAATGTTACAGTTTGATAATTCTTTAATGAAAATTTAATAATGTTTAAATCAAATTATTTTTTATGAAGAGATATTTTTATATCATTATTTAATGCAATATAAATAATGTATAATTTATTTAAAATATATTAGTAAATAGATGAATAAAATGCAACATCAAAATGTGAATTGATGTTTTAATTTAATATTTTAATTAATTAAAAAATTATGAATAATGCCAATTTACTAAATTTATTCAATAAGAGCATTTTTAGTAAATTTATCTAAGATTATATGATTTCAGTTAATAAATACATCTTTATACAAAACTGTCTTTGATATGTTAATGAAATATTATTATTGCAAAATTGTAACTAACTACAAAATTAAATCATAAATATAGAAAATAAAAAATATAATAAAAATATTATAACCTTTACAAGAACATATATATTTATCAATATTGATAAAATTTAATATATAAAATCTGTTTTTGTTTCCTCTGGACTGCAATCAAAAACATTCTCATAAAATAAAATTTTTTATGAATATCATATAATTTCAAAAATTCAAATAATTTTAATTTCTTTAAAATTTTTTCAATCATAAATTATTTACTATTAAAATTAATTTCAAATTACTATTGCATAAATTATAAAATAGACAATAAAAAATATACCTTTTAATGATTTAATTCTGGATTATATAGGAATGAAAATTATCATCCCAACAGCTTGAAATTTAGATGTCCTTGAATATAATTCTGTGCAGTGATAAAGATAGAACATGCAACACAAAAGTAATGTGAAATGTGAAAAAGATTAGAGGGGTGGATATGAATGAATGGCCCAAAAGAATAAATATGCCAATTAAATCATACTATAAAATCTTGTGTTGAAAATATATATTTTCATATTTATATTTATTTTATAATTAATAATAAAAATTAAAACTTTTAACATTTTTCATTATAAATATCATCTTATATATTAATAAATTATAATTTTATTTAATAGGGAATCTGATAATGAAATAACACAATAAAATTGTCTTAACATTATAAATAGGAAAGTTATAAAATAACTGTTCAAAGTTTCATTTAAAAAATAATTAGCATTTTTTACATATTAATTTAATTTTGAAAAATAAAGAAAATTCATACTACAAAGCCAAAATTTTTTATTAAAAAAACTGCTATGTTTCATCAAGTAATGAAAATAATAACCTCATGATAAAGACCATGAAGAATTCTTGATCTTGTTCTGAGCTGACTTTCCTTTGTTGGTTCTTTACCATAGATATCCATATGAGAAGTATATGAAATCCGAGATGAATGGGAAGTATAACTTGAATGATGTGAAGTCAAATTGGTATAAACAGGGATGATTATGGCTCCATTTTCTTCTGACATGGGAGTTACAGCATTACTATCATCTGCATAGGGAAGATGTTCTTGTGCATCCATGTAGGTTTGAAGTACCAAGGGTTTCCTATCACCATACCGGCGTCCATTACGCCAATTGACACTGAACTGGCTGCCCCGACTACCCCTCCGGATATTGAAAGGAGAGCCAGGAAGACTCAGGCTTGCCTGTAAAGTGAGAAGGTTTTTCCTTAAGGTAAAGACCAATTTCCATTACAGATACAGATATCTATCTCATAAATTATGAGAAATCACAGTATGAATGAATGATAGTTGCAAGTTATTGTGAATACCAATAATTGACATTTAATTATATTTATTGCAAATTATTGATATTAAGTTATATTTGAAAATGTCATTGGACATTTTATTCGAGAAATTAAATATATACAGGAAAAATCATCGGGCCATTCCATTCAATATCCGCCTGAAAGAAGTATTAAAGGAGATTCTAAAAGAAATCCTTCATTTAACTCAAACAACAAGACTTGAATTTTAAAAACTTATGCTATAGATAACGAAAATATAAGTTTTT